CATCTTGCTGAAAAAAGAAATTCCCTTTCTCTCCTGTGTTGTAGCTGTTACAAGTCTAAGGCACCTGACAGCCATTATCCTGCCACATAGAGAAAGCCCACAAACAACAAAAGAGTATAGGGACTGTCCACAAGTGCAAGCAGATGACAAATAAGAGTCTACACACATCTGAGGTCTAATCTCATCTTCCCTAAAGACAGCTTTTGATCCTCTGGTTGATTAGGTAAGCGAGTAGGTAACTTTTTTTGATTGTGTTCCTTTCAATTGTACTTCTATTATTTATAACAAAATCCTGAACTAATGAATTGTCCAATCTGAAAACTGAAAGGTAAATCATAAATTGTACATTATAATCATAAATTTAGAATGATCTTTGCTCGTAGTCTGAAGGTCATGTTTCTCTTATTCCATTCAAGCATGGTGCTTACTACATAAAAGATACTTGGGAAATATTACTGGGATTCATGAAGAAAGAGTTGAATTTAATACAGGAAATTGTAGTTATACTGTTAAATTTTACAGAAAATCATGATAGCAGAATTTTTCCCTACATGTTTAATTCATAACCATTATAACCATTTTAAGCTAGGATACTTACTTTTTAAAATTATACCTCATCATAATACTGAGCTTTAATGGTTTAGAGAATGTGAATTTAAGTTATTGTTCAGACAGAGTTAGAGCTGTGGTCTGTATGTTCTGGATGGAAATCACTTGCATTATTGATTTCAGAATTTTTAAATATAATTACATTTTTTGAAATATTAACTATTTACCACTTTCACTTTTGTGGCTGCAACATTTTTTCACCTTTATATCAGTATACTTCTCAGGAAATTATCTGGCTTTACAATATTTCCAAAACTCTTAAACATCAATAAAAAGCAAATAAAAATATCAATAGAGGTAGTAAATGTGTAAACTGTTTAGTAAAAATACTCTGAAATTAGTATACGATAACTTAGCAGAAGTACTCCCTACTTACATAAAAAACTAATATTTTTTAAAATTAGTATATTTATATAATGCCATAGTCTTAATATAGAATATAGATGAGAATCTGAGATTATGCTGATATCTCTACTGAATTCAGATTTCTCAAAATATTGATGGTTGTGGCAATTAGAATTTTTGTTGTTAAGCTGTTTAATGGGAATAGATAAACTAATTGGTGCATAGTATCACCATTAAAAATCCTCATAATGATAATCACAACATTGCTAATTTCATTTTTCCCATTGGAATATGGAAGTCATTTAGTTGTATTAAACATAATGATTTTTAAATAACATATGACTTTCTTATTATTTAACTTATTTGAAAAAATAAAAGAACTTCTTGACAAATGGTATAATCCACATAAAATGTCACTGTCATGAATTGAGCTATTTCAGTTAAAGGCCTCTCTCAGCCTGAGGTAGAATGTTATACTGTGCCTTTTCTGAATAAAAACTGCATAAGCATTATGTTAAGTGACGTCTCCAAAGTCACATGTTGCTATTGGTCCACACAAGAACTGAAACCCAAATCTTCTAGGTTAAAATTCAGGGGTCTCTTTTAAAACACTAGAGCTACTTTCTCTATTTGATTTCCTACAAATCTATTCTTATCTTCTAATATATCCATGAATAAAATAAATTTTAAATGATGATAGTTCCAAACTATCTTCATCCTGTTTTAAAGTTTTTGCTGAGTGATTCTGTCTCATTTTCTCAATGAGGACTTTCATTTATTTTCATGAATGAGGCATTGCTTCCAATGGATTTAAAGTTTCTGTGAAGCATGTTTGCTCTTCTTGCACATGACTGTGTTCTTTCAATATTTAGCAAACGCTTTGGCATCAGGCATCTCACCAGCTGCCCACAGCCAGGCAGTTGCCTTACTCGCTGTCACAGCTTTCGCATGGTATTTGTGTTAAATTAATTACACAGAGTTGATTATGACAATAATAGATTGTTGAATAATGTTAATAGCACACTCAGTTAGAATCTGTTAATGTGCATGTTTATCAATGAGTTTTATTCTTTTAAAAGATTCTCTGATTTACCTGAGCTCTATTTTCACTATTGGGTATATACATATACATATATACATCCATATACACATACATATTTCTTAGAGATATTAATAATTTTGTTAATGTATCTTATTTTAATTTAATTAATTATTGGTGTTTTGCTAAATGAAAATATAAATTTACATTTTACATTTTTTAATCACCACATTATTGCACATATACAGGTAAAAGGATAATTTTGCTGTTACCAACAGATATATACTAAATTACTTCATATTCATTTGTATATCTTCTTTTGAAGATTATCTCTTCATATTTTTACTTTTTTTTTTAATCAAGTTGTCTTCTTGCTGGTGAGTTGAATTCTTTATACATTTGGGACATCAAACCCTTGGTTCAGATATATGACTTGCAAATATTTTCTCCAAATTTTTAGTTGTCTCTTTCTTGATTTTTTTTTCTTGGCTTTGCAAAAGCTTCTGTGTGTGTGTGTGTGTGTGTGTGTGTGTGTGTGTGTGTCTGTGTAATTTTGCTTTTATAGTCTTTGGGTTTATATTGAAACCTAAGCAATGTTACATTTTTCTTAAATTCAGTAATTATTTAGGAGTATTTAGAGGTTTCAGTTATTGCTACTGTTTTATTTTCTAATGACGAGCAATTTTTGTTTTATTTCTGATTTTAATTTATTCTTTTGCATTTTAGTCAGAGAATTGCTTTGCACAATTTCTCATTGCATAGATGACTTTAAAGTTCTCTGGATTTTTTTTTCAATGTATTACTTCCCATTCTTACTATATGTGAATCTATTCATCATTTTCCAGTTAACAAGGCAATTATTTTCTTCTAAGAATCTATTTTGTCTCCCACCTTTTTTTCAGTGTTAACAGTATTCCCCGGTTCTGTAGGCGAGCGTGTGATTAATTAGTGGCAAATCCGTGCAGAGTGACAATCCAGGGATAGGATACAATTCAATAAGAGATTTCAGTGAGCTTCTGCCAAGGGTATTTAAGAGATCACCCCTCCCCTCACCTGAACCTGGACAGTTAGGTCCATCTCCTCTTCCAGACCCACCACATGGAGTGCAAAGATGAAAACAACCCAACAAAAATGTGGCAGACATATGGAGGAAACTCAGTCTTAATTTCATCATTCATTCCTGAAGCTAGCTTTAACTTACAAAGATTTTAGAACTCTAACTCTTAAAATTCCCTTGATGCCTACGTTAATCTGATTGGCTTCCCTAGCACCTTCACCAAACAAACCAGTTATATCATGTGTTTCCCTAACTGTTGCACATTTTGTAACCTATTCTTTATTTTTGCCTTTAGACCACAATTTGGCTGCCCATATAAATTTGGGGTCTCAGCCTTTCTTTCTTAGAAACATGAAGATGACATTTGAATACCAAGGGTGTTGATAGCCACGAGTATGTCTCCCCACAGTCTTTGCAAAAATGTCTTAACTAAAGGAGTGGAACAGTGCTGGTAGCTTAATAAAAAAACAAGGACAAGATGGACATTTCCAATACCATAAATACTTCTTGTCTTTACTCCACAGACAGAGATTAATTTACAGTGCTCCTGTATAACAAGTGTAGGATAGGAATTGAGAATACTTCAAATTAAATAGTAGAAAATATTTGATGTAGATATTTTCATAGAGTGATGTAAATTTGATAAATCACAATATAAACTCTGTATTATTGTTTTAGGCAGTCTTACTGTCCAGGGAAACAGTTTGATCTAGATAGCTAAGATCTTGGAAAATGTTCAATTTGAAACTCTGCTTTTCACGAGGTTTTTTTATTACTAATAGAATTTTTCTTGAAAAGACAGAGCAAATCAATCTCCCAGAGACTTTTTTGAGTTAAGTGGCATGATAAATTCTACCCCTACAGCTATAAATAAAATAAATGTTTACCATAATGAAACAAATTGATGTCTCTCATGCTGATATCCTCCAAATTGTGAGAAGGTTTTTGTTACAATAGTTTTGTTTTAGTTTTTATCTTTATGGTGTTGATATTAATAAATTAAGATGTTTTCATCAAATCCTTTTACAGAGTCTGTAAATAGTGTTTTCCCATAGGGTAACACACATATATTAATCCCAATTATGTGTCAGACCATCTGTTAAGTATCAGAAATACAAATGTAGAAGTATGCACAAGTGAGATGCAATCTATGGACACAACAACAGAAATTAGACAGGTTACAATTAGAGGATGAGCCAGCGGGGTGTTGAGGGTGTGGGCAGATCATTTATACTAAGGTAGTAAGGAGTGGGGGATCTGGATTCCTGCTATAAGAGATGCAGATAAATAGCATGGGAACATTTTTCTAAGGAGATAGGATGTTTTCTTTTATCTGGTGTCCTTCTTATGTAAATTTCCCTGGGACAAGGGATAATTTGAGAGGGGCAGCATTACCATGTGACCTGGCAGTCTGTCCTACTCTTTCCAGGGAAGGTGGTTACACTTCCTGCAACCCTTAGTAGTACCACTCTTGTCTTTAACACACACACACAAAATACAGGTCCACCTAAAATCACCGGCCTGGGCAAATGGACTTCTCAAGTGCTCTCAGTTGCCCTGTGACTGTCATTCATTCGTTGACACAAAACATGCCTTCTTAGATCCCCCATTCACTAAGAACCTAATCATTTTCAGGGGAGAGTTCCACATAAAATGCCATGGAGGGTTTACCCTTTCACAAGCACTATCATTTACTAGTGAAAAGGAACAATTATATATAGAAAAGTTTAAATAAACATGTTTATTTAAATATTTTTTTCATTAAGAAAATGAATCTTACCTTGTCCACTACTGTTTTCTTAACTGCTCCTAGCACAGAGTACTGGTAACTGACCAAGCATTTACTGTTTTTACTTCCACTTATAGACATGAGCTCACAAGACTGTCAAACATGCACACACAGATGTACACACATATGACAACTTAGCTTTCAAAAGAAAATATTATTACCTTTTTGGCTCCTGTTTGAAAATTTTAGGTAATCTGGTTTTTTTGTGCAGGAATATTTTAGGATACTGTTTTATAAATGCACTGTGAGCTGATACAGCAGTACAAGAACTCCAGCTTTAAAAAAAAAAAGAAAGAAATAGGAAATGGGTTTCAGAGGAAAGATATTTTAACATATTCAGTTAATATAGCAAATTTTTAAAACTATGCTTTCTTAGCATTTTTATTTTTGCAATTGATTAAAGTTGTTTTATAATATAACACATAATAAAAAAATCTCTCCAAAATGATTCGGAAATATTTATGCATACATTATTGGATAATATATTTCTCTAAATCTCTGCAATGACTTATGAAAATTCAAGCACTTTTTTTAAGGTCTAATATGAAGAACTGTGAGGTGAAAAGATCAGTATTTCCTAAATTCAGAAGATCAAAAAGACAAGCTGGGATGGTTTGGGTAAGTAAAGACTTGAATCTGCTCTTCATGAGTCATGAACTCCAATGTATAGCCTAGGTGGCTCCCTCTATTTTAAATATTCTCCAAGTGACTCTTACACATAGCTAAATTTTGATCCACTGTAAATATAAAAAACACCCATAAGCAAGATCTATGAGCACATGGCAAATTCTCCTTAAATGTTAGGGAATGAATGACATATGTTTCTGGAAAATCTGCTTCATTCAATTTTAAATCTACAACAACCATGAAATGTTGGTCAATTTTTAAAATGCCAAACATACATTTTGACAGCTTATTTCAATATTTAGTAAAAGTGATCATCCTTTGAATTGAATACTGACAAACATCTTAGTAAATATTTGCTTCACAGCAATGAATGTAAAAATCCTCAAGAGAAAGCTTTTCTTATTTTATTGTCAATGTAAACACTAACACATTTGAAAATGTTTATAATGGCTCTTATTTTTTCTTGGCTAAAATTTTAAAACACCATATTGATACTTTATACAAGATAAATGCTATACACTTTAGGAATCTTCTTTTATTTAATTTATTTTAATTGACTTAAGCAATAAAGTATGGATATAATATGACGTTAAGCATTTTCATTCCTTTCCTCATACTATGTGTATGCAATGAGTATCCACTCCTTTTTAAAATCTGACTACTCAGTCCAGGGATTTAGCTCAGTGGTACGGTGGCCTGCCTTGCAAGCACAAGGACCCGAGTTCAATCCCCGGAATCAAAAAACTAAAACTAAAATAAAATCTGACTACTCATTTCAGTGGAGAATATTAAAAAATGAATATTCAAAATTTTTTACATTTCATCACCCAGTCCACATAGCTACTTGTTTGTTTGTTTGTTTTGGTACTGGGAATTGAACTCAGGTCCTTGTGCTTGCAAGGCAGGAGGCAGAACCACTGAGCTAAATCCCTGGCCTGCTACTTGGTTTTTATTAGATATTTGTTATAGTCCATGTATAATACTAGGATCTTTACAGTTTTTATCTCTTTGCATACTTCCATATTCTAATAATGTGCATATATTTTATTGCCCATTCTATACATAAAGAATCTATAACCTTAATAATTGACCTAATTTATGTAGCTAGGAAGTGGAAGGTTCATGGTACTAATGAAAGGTGAATTAACTTCAAAACCCATTCTCAAAATTGCCAGAATATTGCTGCCGATTAATGAAACATATTTGTCCTTGCTTTTTGACAAGCACTATTCTTGGTAATTTACAAATAACAGGTCATTTAATCCTTGTAGAACTGTGTTAGCTAGATACTCTTATCCTCATTTTTGTGTATGAAGAAACTGAGATACAAAGTAGTACAATAATGTAACTTTGTGTATATACGCAGCCCATGCTACTAGCCTGGAACCTTATTCTTATCTGTGATGTGGATAGACTGTCTTTAGAGTGGCCAATGATTTTGTACCAAAATACTGAAACTTTTAATCTGGTCACTTTTCTACGTGTATCATTGAGCTACCTCCTTCACTCAATCCTCTCCTGGTGAAGCTACGAGACGTGAAGGCTGGTGTAGGTGGACCCAGTGTTTATGATTTGAGACGTCAAAAGTAGTGTGTTCAAGAAGGAAATATGTGGAAGGCTGAAATGGAAGAGTCAAACGCTGCATTAAGAGATAACATGATTCCCAGGTGGAATCCCTAAGTGTCCTATGACACTGAAGACGTATGTGCTATCTCATTAAAATGTAGTTTGGCGGTATAATTCTACTTCTGACACTTATAGTCAAAGGTCACAAAATTAAATGCTCAATGTGGCCAGGGGTTAACACAGTGGAACCAATATGATTGAACTAATGAGAGCATGGCCACAAAGAAAGGACCCATGGCCCGACTAGTAAAAGATCACACACATATTTGATACTAGGAATCAAACTCAGGGCCTCATGCTTGCCAGACAGTTGCTGCACCACTAAGCTACATCTCTGGCCCTGAGAAAAGTGAAGGAAAAAAAAAAAAAAAAAAAAAAGAGGATGAGAGCTTGGGAATTAGCTCAATGATGCCACCACCTGCCTCCCAAATTGTGAGGCTTTGAATTTGATCCCAGGTCTCAAAAAAAAAAAAGACCAAAGAAAACCCTTAGCTGAGTGTGGTGGCACATTCCTTATAATCCCAGCACTCAGGAGGCTGGGGCAGGAGGATCACTGTGAGTTCGAGGTCAGGCTAGGCTATATAGTAAGACCCTGTCTCAAAACAAAACAAAAATAATCACGTTTTAATGTACTAATAAAAGTCCAACATGGGTAGATCCTTTTTAAAGTAATCAGAGACATGAATTCTCAGGAAATCTTATACATTTTAAATGTTAATAACTTTTGTGAACTAAATAGTTTTCCCATCTGAAAAACATGTCATATGTTGAAGTCCTAACACCCAATATAAATAACTGTACTTGGGGAGATCTTACTACAAGCTAAGTTGAGAACAGTAATCTAATTTGTCTGGGGGGGAAAAAAGATACAGTTTGGGGCAACATGCCTAAGTCCTTGTAATACAAGATATAAAAACATTGTAGATATAACAAACCAATGAACTGGAATTGTTCTTAATATTTAGACATGTAACTATCATTTCATGGATAAGGAAATGATGTAGACAATACTTAAACGATTTGCCTAAATTTATATAAGGTGGAAAATTAGTGTACAGATTCAGGTTGTCTTAATTTCAAGGCTAGGATTCCTCTATTTCTAATAATTATTACAAAGTATTAAAGAAGGCAGGAAGGAATTGACATATCTAACAGTGAAGAAGCCCTGCCAAGATCGTTAACGGGTGTCCCTTTTGCTGACCTCGGATGGAGTGCTCGGCGTGTTCACGGCTGAGTTCTAACCCATAGAAAGAATACCACTCCCAAAGGGAAAACACAAAGACCACCCTTACACAGGTGGCTCTCTATTGCTGATCTTGTAAAAGATTTCCCTAGACCTCCCAGGATCTCCAAATTGTAAGAAAAGGGAGGAAAAGTAATCGGATACTTAAGCTATGTCATGGGCAGAAAGGAAGGGTGTCATTTGTTAAGTGGACACTGGTGGAAGAAGCCTGCTCTAAAGAAAGATGATTGCAAACGAGTGTAGTGATTCCAGCTTCATGGTGTCTTCTGGGTCTAGGAAGAGAGAGATATAATTTCTCAGACAAATGGTCTACAATGTCAGCCACATGTTACTACATATTTAAGATTAAGCTTTCACAGAAAGATTGCCTACAATGACAAGATTTTGCATTCAGCAGGAACAAGAAATACTAGATTTTCATTCTTAAAGCCTATAAACTCTGTTCACTAGATATAGTTACCTGACAGACAAAGGAAGGAAGCACTACGATGAGCAATAACAGACCACTGAAAATGGCTAAGCAACTCTGAGAAGGAGCACAATGGAAGTTCTCAGAATGAACATTATATTTCAGCATGTTACTTCTATTGCATATTAGTAATATGCAGCTTGTTATTTGATACATATAATGATATCTCCCATGCTTCAACCTTTTTGGTTTGGGGTTTTGTGGCAACAACAGCTAAAATCTATTCATTTAGCATGAGCCTCAAATACAGTAAAACTTTGTTATCTCCTCAAATTGCACGATAGAACTCTAGACGGATCGTTCCTGCTACTCTGTGTCCTCGGGCTTAACATCTCCCCATTTCTTCTTCACACCTGTGCCCCTGATAACTGCTGTTTTGTTTTTTGTCCGTGTATATTTGACTTCCGTTCAACATGGAAGTGATACCGTGTAAGTCTTTTGCACACAGAAATTTAATTACCCCAGCATCAGTTACGAAAGACCATTTTTGTCCCACAGTCCTATTGGTGCCTTTGTCAACATATTTGACCCTATTCTGTCCCATTGGGTATTGCGCCTGGTTTTATGCAAGCACCATAATGTTTCAGCTACCATATTTAAAATAGCATAATTTTAAATCAGGAAATCTGATGTTTTTCTCTCTCAGAATTGCATTGGGTATTTTGAATCTTCTACAGTTCCTTATTAATTTTAGCATTATTTTTTGTATTTCTCTGAAGAATGCCCTTGATATTTTGGTAAGGATTACATTAAGTCTGTATTCTGTTTTGTGTTAGAAAGGTATTCTAGTAACAGTGATTCTTCTCATCTAGAGCATGTGACATCATATTTATTTATTTGTATTTTTAAAATTGTATTTATTTGTATTTTGTTAATTTTTATCAGTGCTTTATAGCTTTCAGTGTACTGATTTTTCACCCACACATTTAAATTTTTACTAGGCATTTTAACTTTTTTTACTGTTATTGTAAATGGGGTTGTTTTCTTAATTCCTTTTTCATTTAGATCATTATTTATGTGTAAAAAGCCACTAATTTTTATATGTTGCTTTGTGGCCTGAAAATTCACCAAATTCATTTATCTTCCTAATGTTTAACATATAATACAGTGCTCAGCATCATACGCTATTAGGGAAGTACAAATAACACAGTGAGACAACACTGCACATCTATCAGAATAACTAAAGTCTAAAATGCTAACAATATAAAATACTGGTAAAGATGTGAAGCATTCATTTCTTGGAGAATGCACAGTGGTATGGCTATTTTGGAACATAATCCTTCAGTTTCTTGTAAAGTTAAGCATATCAT